CCGGGGCCGCGCGTGGGACCACCCGGGCGCCTCCCACCTCCGAGCACGGGTGCCCGCGACGCGCTCCTCCCAGGACCCTCGCCCTCCCTTGCCCCCTGTCCAGCTCTTTCCCCGAGAATTGAACGCGATTCTCGGTAGTTAAGTGACCCTCAACCAATATACGCCCCTCATTCTCTCGGCAGATTCAAACCGAATGCGGATTATCTCCTCCGACCCCGCCCTTCTTCCAAAATATAGTTTTCTGATGTAATTTTGTGGTTGGTTGAAGTCAGGGAATTGGGAAGGGGGAGGGAAGGAAGAGAGGCTTTGCACACGGCAGCCTGACGGTTCACACACTCGGTCTGTCCTTCCAGAGACGAGTCAGGGCCACAGCCTGCGAAGGAGCGCAGCAAACTCCTGGTCGCGGGCGTTCTAGAGGATTAAGCGACATCGCACACCGGATCTCTATTTAAAAGGAGCCTCTAACTGCGACGGTTGTGTTCCTGCAGGCTGGCCCCCATCAGACTCAGACCGCATCTCTCCTAGCCCGGTATTTTTAATGCGGATGGTTTGGAGGCTCTGCCTTAATAGGAATTTTGTTTTGATTTTTAGGTGTTGAATCATGAAGCTGAATTGAAACTGCTTTTCGGACGCTCTCCTTTGGGGGTCAGGAAGGAAATGCCTATGATTTAATAGCAGCAGCTTCAAGGTCCAAGTAGAGAAGGGTATTTCATTGATGCAGTACAGGAGAGAGAGAGCTAGCTAATAATTTCAAATCTTATTTTTGTCTGTGGGTTTAGAAAGCTGAATTATCTTCTGTTCTCAGGCTAAGGGTTCCCACAAATACTTTAATAAGATGGGAAGGATGAAAAAGGGGGTGCTCAGACCTAACTCCTGGCTGTGATTTTTTTGTAAACGCAGGTTCGGCTGATTTTTTTTTTTTTTAATAATTACAAATGCTGCTATTTTTCATAAGTAGATTAAATGATGAAATTTCCTTTCCCTGGCTTTTGAGGTCCTGAAATAGTCATTCTAACTTTTTTTCTTTTTCCCTTAAATTTTCTTTTAATCATTACTTTCATTGCAATCAACCTCTCCACATTCCCCAGCATGGCTGAGAATTTTATACACATCTGTGCGTCCTTCCCATTGTAGCGGAAATCCAACACTGTTTGGTCAACGCTGGCGATGTGGGCTGTGGCGTGTTCGAATGTTTCGAGAACAACTCCTGTGAGATTCGGGGCTTACATGGGATTTGCATGACCTTTCTGCACAACGCTGGAAAATTCGATGCCCAGGTAAAAACCACACAGAGCACAAAGAATGTTTTGGGTTATCGCAGCGTGATTGACAAATCCGCTGGAAAGACTCCTTAACTAACAGAGTCCCTCAGCTCACCTTCCTAGACTATTTTAGGGTTTGCAAGAGACATTCCAGGTGTGCAGCAGGGGGCCAGGGCCTCCTCACCCCCACCCTCCTAAGTTCTGCTCTCCAGAGCTGTCATGTAGGCTAAATCCTTCTCCACTCGTAGGTTGTGTCTACACAGGCAAAGTGGGTTGGAGACCAAGTTGAACAATTATCTGAGGGTTCTTAGCCAAGAAGACGAAAGTCATGATAGATATCTTGTAAGGGAGCGTCTTATGTCTGGCCACCCAGAACCAGGTCTCTATGACATTCGGAACAGTAGGTCCAGGGGGGAAGGGCAGGGACCCCAATTATACATTCGAAAAGCTATTTTGCTATTTTCACCCAGTAGGCAAGAATAAATCACACAAAATTCAGAGACATGCGTCTTGCCCTAGCGGGTGTGTGGGCAGGCAACTTGGGTCATTCCAGGCCTCCAGAAGGGGGAGGACTTTTCTCACCCTCCTCTCCCAACCTGAAAAGTCAACCCCCTGAAGGAGTCCCACAATTCTACACTTTTTTTTTTTTGCTCTATATAATAAATATAGCCAGGCGTGATCCACTTCGGTTATGCCAGGGCCTTAGCTGCTACTTGGGACAGGCAAAGAACCCAACGAGCAATCCCATGGCTCCGGCACCGACCATCCAAATACGTTTCAGATGGCGCGTGGCCGGAGGCTCGACTTCATGTCCCCCCAGCCTACACATGCACCGTGCAGCCACCTGTACTCTATCTCAAACTTCCTCTCCCATCTCACTGGAGAGCAATGACAACATTTGGATGAAGCCAACAGTTTAGGGGTGATTTACGAGCGTCACCGGTCACCACGTACTGACATCCAGTAGAGAGCCCGACAAAGCAATGCCTGGGAGCCAGGAGGGGATGCAACGGGGCTGGCAGCCTGGACTGCAGAGGATGTGGGACAGCAGGAGGGGAGGCAGAAACCAGGGCAGGAAAGAGGCAGAGGGTTCGAACTCCTTGAGACCCCTGCTAAAGCATCCCTTCCGGATTAACTGGAATTAGGAAACGTAATGGGAAATCCGAGGCAAGGGCTGTATTTCGGGGCAATCCCACCGGATGTCAGGGAGGAATACCCAGAACAGATTGCCACAGCCGTCGCGTACATGTACCTCCCTCTTCCTCAACCAACAGGAGTGTGTTCTCGAGTTAGAAGCATCCCTTTCGAGCTGGTTCTCAGGGCATAGCTGCTTAATAAACTGGCACACCCAACCTTCCATCCTGTTTGGCCCCCACTGGATAGTCAGCGGGGACGGGGCAGAGGGGGCTAGTGACCAGACACTACCTGTAGACATTTCAATTGCTCCTAAAGGAGAAAACCGAACTAAATGCGCTGGCTAGCCTTCCACTCCCAACCTGAACCCGTTTACTGTCTCAACTCCGTTCCTTCCTGTCCTGTCTAAATACAGAGGGGTGACCTCTCCAAGGACGGCTTGTTTCTATAGTCATGGGGGTAGGGGGGTGCGGGGGTCCCGGGTAGGTATCCCACAATGCCTCCCGCCCCCAGAGGTTGGTGAGGGAGCTGACTGCTGAGCACGCCTCCATGCTCCCAACAGCTGCCTCCTTCCTAGGGTAAGAGCAATCTAGAGGGGTTGCCAGGAAAGAGAACTGTGGGCCAGATGTATGCCTGGGCCACTCAGGGGCAGGGCACAGGGGAGGGGCTGGCGGCCGGGCAGTTCAGACTCCAGATGCTGCCAGGCAGTGTGCCAGGCGGGCCTTTGAGAGGCAGTAATCCTAACAGTTTGAAGGAGTTGAATTGTTTTCAAAAAGGAAAAGAATGCTCCTCCTTAAAGGAGAGG